GAAAATGGGTGCCTTCTTAATTTACAAAGATTTGCCATCTTGAAAGATAGTCACAGAACATTTTTTGAACAAAAGGAACATTGCTGCCTTAGCCTTTTAACTTTCCAGTGTGACCATGGCACAGGTGACCATGCCATCAGGAAGAGGGCAGTATGTTCAAAGATCTGCTTTTCCTTTTAAAAACATGTCTTACTGTTTTGTTTGTAGAATCTGCATGTGTCCAAGCTCATACTCTCAAATATGTCCACAGCAAGTCAGTGACCCTTCGAAAAAGTGAGCTATTGGCCTCTGAAAATGCAGAGAAACRTAAAGTACTAAATTTACACCATCAAGATAAAATTTTCCAAGTAGAAATAGTTTTGTTAACTCAGAGTTAAATTTCCAAAGCCTGAATGACTCACACATATTATCTTCAAAAAAATGCTTTTTACACTTTTAAAAGTAATTTCTTATTGTTTATAAACAATTCTGAATATACAGAGAGGCTTGGAGGAGAGGAAGACTTACATTCCCCAAAGACAATAACTGTGAATATTGTTGGTATATTTCCTGCTGGTTCTTCTTACTCCTTCCAATCCTGTACCATTTTAATTTTTATCATCTTTTACTTTCTCTACATAGTTTTCACAATCTTCTTCTTTAGACCTTTTTCTTTGTATTTAGACTGATCAGTTAGTTTTACTCAGTAGCTCATACATGACCAGGTTGATCCAATTTATCCAATCAGCAGATTAACATTCARCAGAACAATTATTCACTTGGTTATTGTCTTGCATGTCAGTATAATAATCAAATGGCAATAAAGAAGTAAATAAAGGAATTTTACAAATTGTCAGAAATAGCCTTCAATCCTGTTTTTATTGACCATCAAGTGTTATGCATGAATATTCTCTTCCTCRGTTGCAAAACTGCTGGGAAAATTCCTATTTTTTTCCAGTGTCTTTCCTCTCAGCACCTCTCATGTCAATCTGAATAAAATTAAGACTTTTTTTTCCCCTTCAGTGCTGGGGATTGAACCCAGGACATTGCACATACTAGGCAAGTGCTCTCTCACTAAGCTAAATCCCCTACCCCTGAAAATTCTTAATAAATGTTATTGACAGAGTAGCCATCCATTAAGCTTTTAAATCCTATACTGTTTGTTGCCAATTCACCATCTTATTGAAAGGCACAGGAAATTCTAAAAAGCACCTTAAATACCTAATATTATTCACCCAAGTTTCATCTCTGGCAGGAAATGCCAAATTCGAAGTAAATGACCTTGATGTTGTGTTTAGTAAACAAGGCTTCCACATTCCTACAGTGGCATTGTTGTCTTTGAGAAGTTTTTGGAAAATATATTCATGATTGTGAAGAAGCAAAAAAGAGCTACGTAATATTGAAGTCTTGAAACTGTGTAAGAAATATAATTATTCAACACTTTGTGGTTATATTAGAAAATAACTGTTGTTTGGTAACTAGAAGTGAACCTGAAAATAACTTTTTTATTCTTTAAGGCTTATGTAAAGATCAAGAAGTTCCTCAGGTGTGTTGGATGATTTAAATATTTTGAAACAGTAAACAGTCAAAAGTAGCTAAGATGTAACTGTTTCATTTAAAAAAAAMMWTTTTTTTTAGTTGTTGATAGACCTTTATTTTGTTTTATTTATATGCGGTGGTGAGAATCGAACCCAATGCTTCACACATGCCAGGCAAGTGCGCTACCACTGAGCCCTAGCCCCAGCCCTCACTAACCGCTTCATTTTTATGTGTGGTCTTAAAATAATGTCTCCCTCATAAATTGCATATCATGATGTTAGAAACACTCCTTTTAAAAAATTTGTTTTCCTAATGCAATAATGAAGATTTCTGTCTTCACGTAAAACTTTTTTAGAACTTAAAAAAAACGCACCATCTCTAACTCATAATTCTAACAACTCTTGTCCCCTGATCCACGAAGAATCTGCTTTATTCAATACTAAGGAATTGCCATTCACTTATTAAAATTGATTTAAAAATAAATGCAAGCTGGTTACCTTTATTATTGATATTTTGAAAACACACTCTTGGTTTTGGTTGATAGAGTGGGCCCCCCTAATGTTGGTGTGAATGTTGAAAACAGCCCTTTCTCTCTTTCTCTCGTATGTCATCAGGAGAGCCAAGCTTTAAAAACCTAAGGCAGAATGCAGCTGAGGTGAGGGACCTCGTGTTCTCATGGGTGATTTGTGTCCTTCCTCTGCCCATGCACCTATATGAATACACAGCCTTTAATGACGTCTCTTTCAGATTCATTCCTGAATCACCTCGTTGGTTATACTCCCAGGGTCGACTGAGTGAGGCCGAAGAGGCACTCTACCTCATCGCCAGGAGGAACCGCAAGCTCAAGTGCACGTTCTCACTCACGCATCCTGCCAACAGGAGCTACAAGGAGACTGGAAGTTTCCTGGATCTGTTCCGTTACCGAATCCTCTTAGGACACACCCTCATCCTGATGTTCATCTGGTAATCTCACATAAAGGGGTGTTTTGTGGATCTTCAACCCGAGGTTGGGTAATCTGTTCCTTCTTCAGGTTTATAGAAAGCTTTACCTCTTGACAGCAGGAGGTTGTTTTCCCCAAGACAGGACCTGTCCCCCGGCACCTGGTATGTCCCACTCAGCTCTGATTTTGCAGCCCCATCTCTGAAGCARGAGATGATGGTACCTGCTGGGCATCGTCCTAAATTTGAGTAATGCTTGCTGATGAGGCATTTAATGTGACTATGTAAGCCCCACCCTCAAGAGAAAGAGGGCTGGAGAAAGCCAGCAAGCTCAGCAGAACCTGAAGAGTTCTACCAGCATTTAGCCTACCTGTGATTCTGGCACCAAGGGTGTTCCAGCAGTGCCCTGGGCCCCATATTGTGTGGCAGTCCTGCTCACCCCCTCCCTGAGATGGGTGAAATGCTATCCCTTGCGTAGATGGGATCCCGGACAGTGGAAGTGAGGGATCCAAAGCCATGTATCAGATCAGTGAACGAGATGATTAGTACTCTGTGCTCCTGAATTTCTGATTCCTTAGCTTATTCCCATCTTAAAATGCCTCTCAAAATGCTCTCAGTGTTAACGTAAGTTCATTCAGTAGTTGAAGATGGTTCCACTTAAAGAAGGAAGGGTTAGAAAAGCAAAAAGTAGATGGGCACTACCATGTGTGTTTTGCACATGTGTTTTAATATTGGACATTCTGCTGGAATTTGTTTTAATATTGTATATTCTGCTATAAATTTGACCCTGGACTGGGCATGATTATTTAAAAAAAAATTTTTTTTTTAGTTGTAGCTAGACACAATAACTCTTTTTTGTTTATTTAATTTGTTTACGTGGTGCTGAGAATCAAACCCAGTGCCTCACACATGCTAGGCAAGCGCTCTACCACTGAGCCACAGCCCCAGCCCTTGGGCATGATTATTATACATCACAACTAAAGGATGATTGTGCTGTTTATAAGCATTTGCCATGAAGGGTGCATAGAAACCCACATTTTCATGGAAGAATAAAGGAAAGTGACTTTACATAAAAGCAGTTGTGTGTATAAAGCTGAAAAGAAGAGTTGCTTGAGAATAAGAAGCTGAGAAGGTGTTTTTCTGTATACTGAGTCTCTTTTCCTACCCAGACAGTGACTGCCCCCTGGATGGTCAGGGGCCAGGTCCTACCAACTGCTGCCTTCTCCACAGAACCAGCACAGTGTAGGGGTATCACAGATCCATAATGCTGAATGGAAGATACAGCTTAGAAACATGAAAATCAAGAGAACCTTTGAAAACCAAATCTGGTTAAACACCAAATCTGATTTGGTGTTCACTTATTTAAAAGCAAATATTTATGAAGTCTGTTCAAGTTACTTGGGGCTCTACAGAACTCTGCATTTGTAAGTCACATAGATAGTCAAAACCCTCTGCATTGGAGGAAGCCCCTATTTGAAGATTTTTTACTGTTTTTTATTTTTGTTTAAGTTTTTTTTTTTTTTTCTAGTTATATTAACTTCTAGATTCAGGCCTTCGCCAAATTAAAACAAACAGAAACCAAGCTAAGGGACAGGGAGCCTGTCCCRGTTTATTTTATTTCTTACACAGCCAAAGATACTCTTCTCAAATAAACTTCTTCCCCCTGGGCTYGGAATGTTCAAAGATGCAATAATGGAGCCAATGTCATTTGACATACTGCCATTCTTTTTGAGGATGTTGTAAAATTCGKAAATCTTTTCTGTGCCTCTGTCATTGAAGAAAGCCTTAACTAGGGAGTAAAATTATACCTCTGTATTTAACATCTGTTCCTTTGCTTATTTCCTGTGATAGTGCCTTTTAAAATGGTTCTTCAATGCCCTAAATATACTGTTAAATATTATGCAAGGATCTTAAATTTTGTTTGGTGCACATAAAGAGGATTGAAATGATTTTAATAGCTGTAATTATGGATCCCAACGACCAAGTCTGCCATGAAGGCAACTTGCATAGGAGAGGCCCAGCCTCGGGGACTTGGGGATGATCAGGCCTTTCATACCTCATGTTCTCCTGTTCTCTTTCACCGCCAGCTTGTCACTAAATTCCCCTATTGTCCTGCACTGGTTTTGTTTATTCTTGTTCTGACTCAATACCATCCCCAACTATGGCTAGAATCACTTCACTGGAATTTCTATCTTAAATGCAGTGTAGACACATTAACCCAGACCACCCACAAAGAACATTATGTGAGAGAAAGGTCTCTCCTACGGGTGGGAAGCATTTAAAGGGTATTTTAGAAAACTGCATGGATTTAAATTTGTTTAGCCTTTTGCTCACATGYGCGATGCCCAGAGTAAAAGGAAAGTGGGTAAATGAGTGTCCCTTTGCATCTGCTTCTGTGATGTCCTGGCTACGGGACTGCTCATCTGCCTTCATGCATAAGGGAGAGGAGCAGGGTGCACTTGCTCCAGGGCTTCCTCTCTCCCTTCCTCCCCAGCCTTTTCTCCTTATATCTACCGCAGCCTAGTAATAGGCCAGGGCACTTGGCCCCTTTCTCTGTTTTATTGCTTACATAGCAATTTATGGTTTACAAAATATATTCAGATACTAGTAAAGCCCAGTTTCAGTTTTTTTWAAATTTGTTCTGTTTTATTTTTATTTTAATATGCAGTTTGCTAGACACAAAAGTTCCTGTTACCGTCTTTGCTATTTGGAGCTTCAGGTTGGCACTCTGATTGGCCAAACTGCCTAGCTTTTTAGTTCCCAACTTCAGGGATACACTTGGTGCCTAGCACAATGCCTGCCATCTAAGGAGATGCTCCCTAAGTGTGTGTTTCAGAAATGATATGCATCAGTAAATTAGTAGCTTTTCAAAGGGCTCTTCCCCAGTTGATCCTTCTGGAGGATCCTGCCTCTGCTGTGACCCCTGAGTTTTCTTGCCTGTTCTGAGTCTACAGCATGTGCACCTGCTGAATGCAAGAAGAGTTAATACCCGGGGTTGGAAATTCCTATATCCCAGTGGGGTGGAGTGCCTGACATTTCTGGCCTACAGGTGACCCACTGAAAACCCATCACTTCTCAGTTCACGCTCTCCAACCATCCTTTGTTGATTTTTCTCCATGGGAAGACTTTTCCAGAGTCATTCTGATAATATCACAAAACCAGCCTTAGGCAAGTGTTCCATACATTGTTGAATTAAATGAAGGAAGAATGGGGTCATTGTTTTCTACTCAATGCAAAAATGCTTGAGAAAGCACAAACAATATCTTTTCTCTTGCAGGAGCTAGGCCTCCATTTGCTTTATATAGTATATAGACATAAATCATTTCCAAAGCCACATCATGTTTTTGTTCTTTCCTAAGATAGAAATTTACATGAAGACAGAAAGCTTTGCAGGAGAGTCAATCTTTTTGTGTGCAGCAGTTTGCATTATATTGAACCAATTCTATTTTAATCTTCTCCAGCAAACTTTGACATGTTTTCTGTTGTCTTGTCTTTTCACTTTCCTGGTCCTTTGACACACACCCCCCAAACTGCAGGTTCGTGTGCAGTTTGGTGTATTATGGCCTCACTCTGAGCGCAGGTGATCTAGGTGGAAGTATTTATGCCAACCTGGCTCTGTCTGGCCTCATAGAGATTCCATCCTATCCTCTGTGCATCTACTTGATTAACCAAAAATGGTGAGTATGGATGAACATGAAGTGCACCATAGAGAAGGTGYATGGGTGGCACACTGACTTGCTTATATACATACCTACCTAGATATTATCATTTTTTTTTCTCTGTAGATAGTATCTGCTAATCACTGTGGTGATTAAAGTTTCTTTCAGGCCAAATGCATTTAGAATACGTTTTTTGGTGCAATACTTCTTTAGATTCATATGTGTGAGTTTTTATATAAGGCTTTAATGCATTAYTGAAGACACCATAAGATGAGGGGGGTTTTAGTAGTCTCTAAGTACATTGTTAGGCCTAAGAGATGGGGTTATCAATATAGCTAGARTTTCATCAACCCAATTCATAGTATTTATGAGGTTTTGTAAGTAGGAAGAAAAGTGAGGGAACTAGAAAGAATTTTCTTACCTCTTAAGACCCACTTTGTTGAGAGGAAGAATAAATACCATCCTGCTCTGGCTACTTATGGTCAGTGGGCACAACTTTGAAATATATTTAAAAAGTTATTATGGAGCTCCCTTTCCTTGGGTTTTGTAAGATAATTCCTATTATTTAGCCCCTGACCWTAGCAACTAGAACCCTTTTTTTCGTTCGACCTAGGGATCATTTGGATCGTACCATTTCTCATTCTTTGGAAATTATCATTGTAACTAAAATCGGGGGTTGGCATGGCCCCGATGCTGTTGTCATGATGTCTACAAAACTATGAAGGGCAGGTCTGGGTCTGTTCAGTTGGACCCTTTTCTCACAGGCAGCATTCCAGRTACCTGGGCTGCCTCCTGCTGGTGACTGCGGCTTACTCTCATGGTGGTCCAGGAGGCAGATGAGAGAGCATGCTGGGGAGTCTTTCCCTAGCACCCCCCGTGCTGCTGTAGCTTCCTGTGCATGCCTGGCAACCACTGAGTGTTACCAGGAAGCTGTCCATGGGCATGTCCTGGGTCTTTGCAATCCCTAGGGCCTGTCATGGTACATGTCACTTGAAAGACACTCAGTACTGGCTGTTACATTAAGCAAAATGATGGAGAAAAGAAGACTAAAGACCCTTCCAATTTCCCAGCAACTTCCACCCAGAGCCAGGATTTAAATCTGAAGCCAAGGGAAGGATGCTGCCTTTGGGGTCAGGCAGACCCAAATTCAAGGCAAGGCTTCACCAACTGTTAGCTTTATGACTTTGGCAAGTTCCCTCACTGAGCCCCCCACYGTAGTCATTCTCAAACGAGGTATTATAAAATCCCCCTGGAAAACTGTTATCAAAATTACAATGTTGACATTCTTAGCAGGGTACCCAGTATGTTCTAAGTAAATCCCCCACATTCTGGTCAGTAATTTATACAATGYTCCTAGATGCATATTCCCTTTTTACCTCTATGGGAAAGGTAGCCAAAGTTCAGATACATTAAAGTTAGTTTTAGAAACCTGATGTGATTTGTCTACTAGATAATTATTCACTAGATAATGGATTTGTGGTGTGAAACAAACAGATAACGGAGCCAGAGATTACAACAGACTCTTCTAATGAACTTGGAGTTCATGGCATAAAATTAAAAAACAAACAAACAAACAAACAAAAAAACCCCCTCACATTTTCACTGTCTTTCCAGAAATGAATAAAGTAAGAGGAGAAAGGTAAAATTTTTTATAAATAGATAAAGGCCATTCAATAAGTAGAGTTAATAGATCTACAACACACAGCCTAAACAAATAGCCACATTTAAAATCTAATTTTGATTCTTGTGTACCTAAAACAATTGACTTTGTTTAGGTATCTGTTTTCTGCTTAATTGCTCTCTCTCTCTCTCTCTCTCTCTCTCTCTCTCTCTCTCTCTCTCTCTCTGACACTATGTGTGTTCTGTGTGTAAAATATGTCAGCTCATCTGTCTATTTTTAATTTAGACAAAAACATGGTGAAGGAAGATCAGTAGCGAAAAGAAACCATGAGAGAGAAGAGGGAAGGGAATGGGAAAATACTGGGGAATGATATTGGCCAAGTTACATTGGTATACTGTGTGCATGGACCACTACATAACAATAAATCCCACCATTATGCCTAACTATAGTGCGCCAATAAAAAATATGGGAAAAAAAAGAAAAGGAAGGCATAATATCTTACTTCCAAGACTAAAGCTCTTCTTTGAAAGTGATTTTAAGGTGTTCATTCCATTTCACTTAATTCTAACCCACGAACAAGACTTTTTTTTTATTTGCATTTTGAAGAGAAAGAGACTTTTCAAAACATTGTTTAAAATTGTTACTTAAATAAGATTCAGGTAACCAGAAAATGAAACGAAATAAAACATTTCGTTTTCTTTTTCAGTTTCATYCTCTAGAGGATGAAGAATGTAATTGTGTGCCTATGGTTTTATCACTGGGATTATATAAGATACTATGTGGAGAACATTTAAAATAGCATCTAGAATATAGTAGACACTCATGGAAATAGAATGATTGTATGTCCTTCCTGTTCTGTGTCCCCAGCAGACTCACATTTGCAACCTATTCCTTTAAAAGAGTTGAAACTGAGGACATTTAGATAGGAAAATTGGGAGGAAGGAGCAGATGGATTTATAAGATTCTTAAGAGAAATGTGTGATTTTTCTATTATTTAGGTTTGGTCGGAAACGGACATTAGCAACATTTCTGTGCCTAGGAGGACTGGCTTGTCTTATTGTAATGTTTCTTCCAGAAAAGAAAGGTATGCCTTTCAAATTTCTACAAGGGTTTTGAACAGCACTTTTATTACAATGMATCTCAATATAGTAGAGAGATTACCATATGCCATGCTTCATTTCTGTGATTGCATATTATTTAGCAATTGTGTAGGGTATAATGGGCCAGATTCTTTCCATTCCCTAAACTATTCTCTGGGTGAATAATGTGCTTAGAGGTGCACTATTAATTCTCTCAGGCTATTAAGCTACCATCTGGGGTGTCTGGGATGCAGTACTGGTGATGTTAGAGTTGTTTATTTGATGAGGAGGAGGACCGGTTAGTTCTGCACAGAAAGAAACTCCATCCAAGGCTGCAARTTACACTCACTCCAGCCAGTCCCGAGACTGGAGATTGGAGACAACAGTTCTCAAAGGTGGCTTTGATTTCTCAGTTTCTCTATCAGTATACCACAATAATAATAACAACACAACAGCCCCAACAGTAATAGTCCCTGTTGGTCACAATGAATATGCTCTTGGTCTTTTGTGAAGGGTGCATATGACACCTTCAGGACCCTGTTGTATTTTCTATATTCATAGCTTTGCTATGCAGACACAACTGCAAAAAAATGTCTCTTAGCTTCTTCATCTAACCTGATTACTGCTTCAATATAGAAATTCTGTGGATACTGCAGATTTTTTTTCTTTCTTTTGTCTTTTTTTAGGCTGGGAATGGGGTGGGGGCAGCTTGCACACCTGAGGCATGCCAGTTGCTGGGAACTGTGGTTTTAGCTGCAGTTTTCCATAAGTACTAGTGGGTCTCAACAACTGTCTTTTATGGTGCTTATGGTATAACCAAAGCCCTGTTTGGGGAGTGGGGGGGCTTTTGGATTTTGACAGGGCTATATCCTGGAGCTTGCACCCCAGCTAGGAATGATTATGAGATGGTTTGACAGAAAGTTTTGACAGCTACTGGAAGTGCATGGAGAAGTCATGTCACCATCAGAGCCTATCATGTATAAAATGCTCCTTTCGTAAATTGCTTCTCCTTGAACTCGGGTTGTGCTGTTGTCTCACGGGGAGGCCTGTGAAGCTGCCTCTTCTCCTTGTTCTCTGTTCCTACTCTGCTCTAGGTCACCACTGGAAGGTCTGAGCCTTGATCCAGAGTGCAGGTTGTTTGAGATTTTATGCAGTGTTTAGTGCAGCCTAACAGTGGTTTTCATGAAATCAAGGAAACTAGAGAATTCAGCAATTTTGCCCATTTCTTAACATCTAGCCAMACCAGTGCCTCTGTCCGTGTCAGGTTGAGGGGACACTCTTCAGCCCTGCTGGGGGCTGTSGGAACCAGGTGCCCTGTTCTGTTTATTTGGGGCAAGAAGTGATGGGTTTCAAATCACTGTGGCCTTCTGCTCAGCAGTTTGTTTGGGGGAGGTACCTTGGGAACTCAGCCTGATGTTCCATTTATCACTTCATAGAGGAAAACATTTTGTTGTTAGTGTAAACACACCTGTAACCGTCACACTTCCAAGAGCCAAGCCAGTCAATGTCTTTCTCCCTCCCACTTCTTTGCACTCTGTAGGTAATCCACCCTCTAGGACTGGCCCTTTCTTGAAATTATCTCTTATTTTAAATAACAAAACAAAAATCCAAGGTGAAGGCAGATGGCTAGCCTCCCCTCTCTGCTCTGTTCCAGTCTGTTTTAAGAAAGCCCTGTGAACCCTTTGTTGGTCACACCCCTTGGTGGACACCAAGTGAGAAACAGTGTAGCAGAGTGTCTTTTGCAGGCTATTCAGGTGCCGCAGGAATAGGATACCTCTATTATACTCAGGAAAAGTGGATATCCAGTCTATTTTTGAAGATTTTTCTGGGGAAGAAATTCTGTAATGTCCCTTATTGAATTATTTCTATTTTTAATAACCATTACTGTTAAGATCATCCTCTTCCACTACACTTGAGCCCATTTCCTTTCACTTGATTCATCACTGGAGATGCGGAACAGATGGTCACCTTTTTTTTTTCTTTCCTGCATAATCCTTTCTTTATTTGCAGAGTCCTCTAGCTAGGCCTGAATCTTCTTTGAGCTAAAAAAAWTTTTTTTCTTTAAGCTTTCTTTAAATCATTCATATTTACTCTTGAAAATATGCTGTCTGCTATCTTTTAATCTGTCTTTTTAAAGTTTTAGCTACATGTTCTGAAAATTTTGATAAATACATATGATGAAAAAGAGTCAGCAGTTTTGGGGACTGGAATTGTAGCTCAGTGGTAGAGTGCTTGCCCCTCATGTGTGAGGCCCTGGGTTCGATCCTCAGCAGGTTTAGCACTTTTAACAGTTCTGTTAACCAGTTTTAACAGTTCTGTTAGCGTCTTCTGTGACTGGGAAACATTGATTTTTCTCATTACTTCAAGTGCTCATTTACCCTCACCTTTCCCCACCAAATATGCCTACATTCTCTCTTTTCTGCCAACTCAGCCTTCTCTGTCAATGGTGTGCATGATGGTGGTACTGTATGTCCAAGGCATTTGTGGATTCAGTGACAGTATATCTGCAGGGGAGACAATTAGTGAGCTAAAAAGTGAATTGTCTGGCATTTTGAGAACTGTGGTTCACAATGACAAGGTGATCATCCCTAATCCAAACATTTGAAGTTTGAAATGCTCCAGAATCTGACACTTTTGAGGACTGACATAATGCCACAAGTGGAAAATTCCACACTGACCTCTTTGTAATGAGCAGTGTTCGAGATACATATGATTTTTGTAAAAATATTGTATAAAATTATCTTCAGGGTATATGTATAAGATGTATATGAAACACAAAACTTGGGTCCATGCCCGCAGTCTGGCTGGGCACAAAATCACGAGCCACTCAAGCAGGAACAAACTTTATTTCCAAAACTTCCGCGAACACCACGCACGCGGCCTTCTCCCAGGCCACACCACACCAACCAGAAATCCCTCCTACCGCACTTCCCCAACCAATGGGAACTCTCCGGGAGTCCCCATCGTCATGGTGTGTCCCCCCCTCCCGAGAGCTCCAAAGTAGCAGGCCAAAGTAGCAGGCCAAGGCGGACAACAGGGGTCTAATATCTTAACATAATCATTATCATCTCAGTGGCTTGCTGGTGTCACCTTTCAATCAAAAATGCCATGCGTCATTCCAACTCGGCTATGGCTCTTAGCAGGTCTATCTCCAAGATATCTYATTATGCACAAGTAAATATTCCAAAACCAATTAAAAAAAAAAAAACAACAACAACCTTGAAATACTTCTGGTTCCAAGCATTTCAGATAAGGGATGCTCAGCCTATACTAGTCAAGTTCCTTACCAGGTATATACTTGCATATTGATTAGCCTCCAAATACATGTTCTTGTCTAGGAATAATGTTAGCTAATATTAGCAGGTAGTTACTAATTTTTTTTTTCCCACAGATGGGTCAGCAGATATTTTACCTGATCTGTGTTGTTCTTTGGAGGATCTTGAGTGTGTTAGCTTTCTGTTGCTGTGGAAAAAAAGAGAAAGAAAGAAAGAGAGAGAGAGAGAGAGAGAGAGGGAGAGAGAGAGAGAGAGAGAGAGAAATAAAAGAAAAAACAAAATGAGAAAAACAATTTAAAAGGAGGAAAGATTTATTTTCACTCAGGGTTTCAGAGATTTCCATCATGGTCRCTTGGTTCTATGACTTTGGACCTGAGATAAGGCTAAACATCATGRCAGAGAGYACSTAGTGGATCCAAGCTTTTCACCTCATGGCTATTGGAAGAGAGAGAGACAGACAGACAGACAAACAGACAGAAAAGGGGCTGGGAACAAGATATATCCTTCAGGGTCCCCAGTGTTCTACTTCCTTCAACTAGGGCTCAGTCCTAAAGTCTCTACTGACTCCCAACAGTGCCGCCAGCTGGGAACCAAGCTTTCCATGCATGGCATTTGGGGGGGCATTCCAGATCCAAATTAGAACATTCTACCCCCACCCCCAAATTTCATGCTTATCTCACAATGCAAACTGCCTTGGGTCCACTTTCAAGGGTTCCCCATAGTCATCAACTTTGTAGCATTGCTCAGAAGTCCAAGTCCAGTCTCCTCTGAGACTCGAGATAAACTCCTAGCTGTGAATCCTTGTAAAAATAAAAAAAAAAACAAATTTTTTTTTTCACAGTGCTGGGGATTGTATGCAAGCAAGCACTCCACCAACTGAGCCGTGTGTGTGTGTGTGTGTGTGTGTATTTTATTTGCTATATATAATATATTCTTTGAAAAGAAAGTTCTAAAATGACTATGTACATTATATATAACAATTTGCTTTTGATAATTGGGATAAGGTAGATAAACGATCTACAAGGTCCTTTCTTATTATATTTAAGTGCTATTAAAAACAATGTGTTTGAGAAACTCTGCCCTCGAGCCTAGCTAGATTCACACCCAGGTTTTTGTAAGAGCAATTGTTGATGGCATCTGTGGGCAAGAAAGGACATGGTGGGGAGGCCCTGGTGCAGCCATCTCTCAGGTGAGGTCTCCTGCAGTTTGTGGCTCCAGAGCTTGTTCTCCACCTGGAGGGCATTCCATCTTCCTGGGAGGTGGGACAACACCTGGGGGCTCCTGGAGTTTACCAKGTAAGCCCTGGATATTTTCTGTTTTCCTGAATTCTTGCCTTCGTAACAAATAGCTACTACCCTCAAGGCTTTTAAATAACATCATATTTCTCATGGAAAATAATAAAACACTATGATGAATGACAAAAAAAAATATGAAAAAGCAAGTTAAATACTTTCAACATGCAATCGTGGGACGAGCACAGGATCAACTTCTCATTCTTACAGGGAAGAACAGTGGAGTAGAGAGGAGGGGGGGACCAAAGCGAGAGTGAAACCCCAGCAGGGCAATTAAGTCCTATAGCTCTGGGTCCAATATCTGGGACACATGGTAGAGAGATATGGACCCCAACAGTCTAGGGCAGCCTCACCCCCTGAGTCCTTGCTGGTTGAAACCCTTAAAGCCTCTTTCCTAGACTGACTTTTCATGCTGCCAACAGCTTCCCATGGTGGGTT